CGATTCAAAAATGATCAATTGATTCATTACATAGATTGAGTTTTTCTTCAAAAACAGTTGATGGCTTTTTGCTACCATGGCGTGCTTTGAATGAAATCGCAAAAGTAGCTTTTCACTGGATCACGCTTAAATTTTTCATACTAGCAATAACTTTTAATAGCATTTTTCATATAATAAATACTGGATACTCCTTCAATAGAATATACATTCTTTTAGGTAATTTATTTTAAGTTATTTTGTTATTATATGGAAAGTGACCCCACTGAAGCGAAGGATTAGCTGAAATAGACCAGAAAATGACTTGGGTCCTTCTTCATCCTTCGATTCTCGGATGTCGTTCTTGAGTTAAAGCTAAAGTGGCATCCGTTCGCATAACTACAACTCCTGTTTTTGCAAGCAGCTCATGTGGCTTCAGGATGACTGCCAAGTCATCACCAATCTTGTAGTGTTCCAAGACAGTTATCTTCCTGCTTGCCAGTGCTGGACACTGGCATAATATATGTCTGCTATTCTTCTAGACAGAGTCTGCAAGTGTCTTCCTCAACAAGAGTTGTATTTTTGAGGTAATAGTTGAAGTTTCCATGTCCAGTAATCAATGAGGTCAGCCAACGTAGAGTGTTTCGCAAATAGCTAAGCACTTTTAATCGCTTCTAACTTGTTTTAGTCAATTTGCTGTTCTATATATATTAAACAGTTAAAATTTTAAAATCGAGCAACCAAGGACTTTAACATACTTTTACTTTTCTTCTACGATAATATCATACCTGTCTTTAAAATCAATTCTCTTTTTTGCCAAATACAACGACCTATTATTTAAATTAAGTACTTCCTTCTTTGCAAACATTTTAATGAGCAAAAGTCATTTTATTATACAAGTAAGTGTCGCCTTTGCAGCCTTACTTAAATCCACTTTTAATAGAATGGACACAAATAGGCAATAGAATTGCTTTATATTCTATTCGTAGCTAAATAAAAATTCTTCAATAAATCCCCTTAAGTCATTGCCTTTGGGTTCTTTCTCTGTACTCGTACTCGTTCTTCCATAAAAGTTTGTAAAAGTTCTTAAGTCAACATTTTGTGGCGCCATTGGCATGATTTGAAGTTATTGAATTCACAAACACAAACACAAACACACTTCCAATGAAAGGAAAACATAATACTGCCGACATACAATGGAACACAACTTAGAAAATCCTATTAAGCACAGGACTTTTATTTGCCTTGTATCGATTTAATTGGATTGCTTTGAATTTCAGTTTTGTTGCATTTTTTCACTTCAGTTGAGTTAATACTCACATATGTACACATTCGACTTTACTGTTGTTGTTGTTGTGTATATTTTATTAATTTTTTTTTTTTGCAAAGAGCAAATATTTATGTTAGTATTTATTATTTATTTTCTTCTTTTTTTTCTTCTTTTTTACACATAAAAGTTCGTTTTGCAAAGAACTTAAGGACATTCACATCAGCACTTTTACGTGCTTGTTTAACTTTGGAAGGTTTTGATTTGGGATTTTTTGGTAATTTTGCCAAATTGAACCGGATATTTTTTTAAGTAATTTAAGATGCTTTTAATGAAAGTTTCAGAAAATATAGTTATTTAGATATACTTCAATGTTAATTACAGTATGAGTATAAACAATCTCTCTAAATAAAAATAAACTATAATACTATGTATTTATTAAGTATATACATATATGTACTATTGTGTAAGTATATAGTATTATTACTATTATGCACTATAATAATTTATAGGTCATTTTTGTAATAGGTTATGTTTATTAATCCAAAATAAAATGTTTTCAATACTCTTCATAGCATAACAGTCCATCGTAGATAAATGTGTTTCTAAAGACTTCACTCATTCTCTAACCGCCGCTATTTTATCAAATTCTTTGGGCTCAGTCTCTTAAGTTGAACCTTATTTTTTGAGAAGATTTCTTCTTCTTTCTTAAGTGGTACTCTGACACTATGTTTCGTCAGTTCTTTTAAGAGGCATTCTTTCTACAGACTATGTGGTCCCACTATTTAATGCACTGAAATATCAGTAAGAGTATATCTAATAATGTTTTGATCCTCTATTATTCTTGCTCAAAATAGTTGCAATTCTTTTTATACGCGTATATTTATTTCTTCTCTAAGAATGAGAATAATAAACTCTGATTACAATACATTATACTTTTTAATTTATCTAAATAATAGAGAGGTTTCAAACAGTAGAAAACTAAAACAACAAAAATTATTTTTATTTTATTTTAATTAATTGAATTTTTGGCTGATCATACAATTTTTTCGAGTATTGCCAAATACTCATCATCAGTGGTCTTAGGAATAATTCTTGTATCTTTGCTAAATATATGGTAGTTCTTCCTCAACGTGTTTAAACAGGCAACGGTAGACGTACATTAGATAAAACTTGTCACTATAAAGGTCTCCTTTCTTAACTGTAATTTCTATTTATATTAGAGACGTAGGTGAGATATCTGTTAACATTAGCACATCAGTTTGCACACAACCTAATATATCAGTACTATATACAATATTGCATATACTAAAGCTGAAGCAAAATTACATTAAAATTATATTTCAAGTTAGCTGAAAGTTTTTGTGTAAATTGAAAATTTTCACTTAACAAAAATATTTACCTGTAAAATTTTAATTACTTTTTTTTTTAAGACCATTAAAATTTAAAAAAATTTTATGACTTTCAGCTACTCGTGCATTTAAAACACATTAAAAAGCTTCTTCAGTAACGAATTCCGCTATATAAAAATGTTAATGTTCGCATGAGATAATATTTCATTTGATGTTATTTTTTATGATTCAATGTTGTTTGCAATATTTACAAGTTTTTTGAATATGGGAGATACACTTTCAGATTTTATTTAATAAACAGTATGAATCTGAATTTTATATAAAACTCATCTTTTTGCAAGCTGGGAAAATATATAACGGGTTATACCAATAGGAGCATATAAACACCAAAAATTATATATTAGTATTGGTTTATTTATTATATTAGCTTGGTTTCTAAAATAAAAAGTGGTTATATATTAAAATAGAAATTAGAGTACTAAAAGTGCCAATTACAACTGCAGAGAACAAATGTTCTCCGGCGAGTAATATTTTTCTCTGTTCCACAACTTCGAAAAAGTCGATAAAAAAAACTATTATTCAAGCAGCAAGTCTATATATTAGACAATGTTCTCTTACTAGAGTAATTATGTTCTACCTTCGATCCTCTATTTTAAAGTGTTACGTTCTTGTGAATAGTTTAATTGAAGTTAAAGAGATATTTGCATCTAATGTAACAGATGTCATGAAAAAACATCTGAAACTTGTAGGTAATTTATCTTCCCTTCAGTTGAAAGGACAATTGATTTGACTCAGAATTAATTTCAGATTAATCAATATTAATTAGTTCATTGAACATTAAAAATAAGTAGAAAATTAGTATAAAAAATAGATTGCATTTTTTTGTGTTTTTGAATATATTCAAAATATTTTGTAAAAAACTCAGTTACATTTTTTGCGTATAGTTGATAGACCTGAAAAAGGTTTTAAGATATTCCAAAAAATGGAAACGTTGACCATGTTTGGAAACAAATTTGAAGAGGTTTCGGGAAACTGATTGGGCTTACCAAAATATCCAAAAAGTATCCTTCACAAAAACTATATTAAAGTCAAATATTTTTTAAATATCTTTACTGGTTCAGAAAATACTAAATTAAAATACTACTTACTTTTAATACTGGTCGCTAACAATTTCTGTGCTAAAACAATTGGGTGTTATATATTACCTAAGGTAGAGATATATTTTAGGCGTAGATTTAGACTATTTAGACTCTTGCTTTCACAATAGTATGCTTAGATCAGGGCTGTCCAAACCAAAAACAATCACGAGCCAATACAATTCACTGTATAGATTGGAGCGCCACATAGGTTCATGATTTTTTTGGAGAAAAATAAATATACGGTTATAATGTTAAATTTTATTAATTTTTGATTAATTTAACTTTTAGAATCCTATCAAAATTAACATTATTAATATTAATATTGATGGTTCCGTGTCATGTACTTCATCATGGAAAGGGGAGTTTTTTAGTATGTCAGCGATTAACGCGAATTATGCACTACCCACAGAAAGACATTTCAGCGGGTCTGTGTAGACATTTTTTGTTCCCCAGTCTCGAAAGAAAAAAAAAACATTAATATTAGTTATTGTCAGGCACAGTGCGTTGGGAAGTGAATTATTAATTAGTGAAGACATATAATATGGTTTTTATAAAATTCATAGTTAAAAACGCAATGTCATCTTCAACTCATTTTTAAACCAAAATTGATTGATTTCGGGAAGCTCTTGCAAAGGATCTTTAAAAATAAATAAATAATATAATTTCACCAAAATATATCAAAGGAAAATTTGCGTAATTGTGGTAGACATGTTTCTATGTCATGGGCTACAAAAACGTGGGCTGTAGGCCACGTTTCGAACAGCTCCAGCTTAGTGGTAGAAGTGTGTGAAGTGTGTCTTGTTTAAAATAGTTTTTTATAATATATAAAATTATAACTAAAGTAGAGTCTAAAAAAAATAAATCCAGCAAAGTACTTAATAAAGACTGTTTTCATAACTATAAAAATCTTAAAGTAACAGTGCTAACTCCAATTAGTTTATTAAGATAAATAAGTAAATGCATTTATCAAACTAGTTGAACAACCCTGTACTCACACATTAAACTTTAAAGAGAATTCAAAACCCAAAGCAGCCACCCAAACAAACAAAAGCACATACACACATACAAACATAAATTGTAAAACTTTTGTAGGTAAACGGAAATGCAACACAGTAAAAATGCCATAAAAAGCTGCAGCCAATTAAAATGAAACCATAGCAACATGCCACGATGCAGCACCGATGCTGATTGTGCTCATGTATTGAAAAGCGCATGGGATGAGTGTAGATGTACACTCATCTATATTACTTATGTACTCGAACTAAAATGTACAAAAACATAACAACGCAGTTGCAGTGTAAACAGCCTCATGCAACAGTGCACAATTTGCAATATCAGCAGCAAAAGCAACAGCAACAGCAGTTGCAACAACAACAATATTTAAGTATCAACATGTGATGAGCAATTTCCGTTATATCTTCTTGCTTTACATTTTGGTTTTGTTTTTTTTTTCTCAATATTTCAAAATTAAATTCATTCAATGGAAATGCTTCATGAAGTGAAAAATGAACCGCAGTGGCAGCAGCTGCCTTTAATTATGTGCAGCAATGAAAGGCATTGAGTTGCCATATCAACGGAATCAAAAAAAAAACCGAAAAAAATAATGTTTGTATGTATACATGCAATTGACATTAAACTTTAATGTATATTAAATAAAATAAAAGCAGTTTCAATTAAAATGAACTTAATTAAATTATGGTATATTTAAACATGAATAACAGTTGACATTTAATTAAATTCTCATTAAAACCACTACACCGCATTGCACACAATCGCCAACCCATACACACATACACACACACAAACAATAAATTTTGTAACATGTGCAGCCTTATCGACGACATGACAGCCATTTTTAAAATTGAAATTGTTATTACTGTGTGCCGGCTGTGTGAATTCATTCTTGCGGAAACATTCAATGCCGTGTGTCAGTGCGTTTTTTGGTGTGTGCGTGTGTGTGTGTGTGTGTGTGTAAAAATCTGCAGCAGTTTGAAAACAATAAACTTAAGTCGGCTAATCTGCAGTGAGAAATATGCTGTCTGACAGCATACCAAAGCGAAAAAACAAAAACACAATAATCATTCAGCCAACAACAAAAACAATGTTTGCATTTTTGCCGCCGTTTATTGTCTTGCCAAGAGCGAATATTTTTCTGATTGTTTTTATTTTTATTTGTTTTTGTGTGCCTGCCGGGCACACAGCCACACAATACCAGCATGCGACGCCCTAACGCCTTTGAAATACCCCACTCGCAGTAACACAGCACAACACAACATAGCACAACACAGCGCATTGCAAGCCCCTTAAGCAAGTTATGTGAGCAACAGTGATGATGCGCTATGGGGGAAAGAGCAACTTGACAACACAATGACACTTTTGTTTATCATCCTTTCAAAATAAGTACAAAATGAAATGCTTTCCATGGAGTGACTTGCTTTTGTATGCTTGAAAAGAAGTCGCTACTTGGCAGATTGTTTGCTGAGTAATGCGGGACTAAGCGCTTTCCATGGGAAAAACGGAAACGACTTTTAAATTTCTTAAGTTGAGGAAGTTTTTAAGATTTCCAAGTAAATGAAATTGTTGGTTTTTTTAATTTGGGAAAATTTTTAAATTATTTGTTTTGCTTAATAATTTTAAATGTTGTGCTATTAACTTTGATTTTAACGTCAGTGAGGTTTCGAACAGTAGTGAATTGTAACAACAAAAATTTTATTTATTTTTAATTAATTTAATTTTTGGCTGACCATACAGCTGTTTCGAGTATTACCAATGTTGTACTATATTATCTTATGAGACTTATTCAAGAGAAAGTTATTAAGAGATTTTTGCAGAGATTTATTTCTATTGCTAGTCTGCAGAATTAGTTGGATCTAATACGTTTTATATAGAATTTATTAAAACATATTTATATAAACCTATTTCTACAAAAATTAGGACACTATACAAATAAAAAAGAAATTTTCGTATCAAAAACTTTCAGACTACAAGTTATTATTATTATTTATGAGAGGTTATAGAAAAAAGTAAGGACATTTTTCAAAAGATGGCGTAGTTTCAGTACTAAATATTTTTTTACAATGATACATGACATATGACATATTAAAATATAATATCTAATTGTTCCTGAAAGCATAAAAAATATATAAAAAAGTTTTTCCTAACAGTAGTGAAGTACAACAAAAAAAATTCATTTAAATATTATTATTATTAATTAAATTTTTAGCTGACCATACAGCTGTTACGAGTATTGCCAAATACCCATCATCAGTGGTCTTGGAAATAATTCTTGTATTTAATTATTCGTAAATAATTTTTTTTAACTGCAAATACCAGAAATCGTACTCGTATCCTGCCAAATTTGAAGCTCAGAGTCAACGCACCTTGCAAATTTTGTAACAACAAAACAGTATTTGAATGAAAGATCACTTCTTTCCTATATTAAAAGAAAAAGCATCTCAAAGTTTTGGTTTGTTTCAAGAAACTTGCAGTTAACATAGACTATCTCAACATGCTTGCAAAAATTGGTTTAAAAGATTCAAAACCAAAACTGATAATTTTGATATCAGTGACATTCTGGTCAACCAAGAAAGTTCGAAGATGAAGAATTGAAGTCATCATTGAAGAAAAATACCACGTACCACGTTAACTGACTGAAACCAACATTGAAAACCAAATTTTGATCGTCTAATATTGCTTCTGACGCGCCGGACACTGTTTCTCAATATATTAGAGTTTTCCAAGGCAGTTGATGATATTTTGATTACACGAGTTTATAGCCAAAAATTTCCAAATAACAGTTTTATATGACTTGACAAATAAAGTGTGATTTGATTCGTTATATGTATTTATAAAAAAATATAATTGTCTACTCACACTACTACAAATATGTTAGATTACTCTAACAATTAACGATGTTAGAAAACTTCACTTTGCTATACATAAAACTATACTTTATTAGCCTTAAATAAAATAAGATAAAACTTTTTTTAAAAATATTATATACATTAACATCTTGTTAACATCTAAGCTGTTGAAATACAATCACGAAAATCGACTCCTGACAAGTCTAATGTATTCAGCCACATTTACATACAACAGCATAACGTATATACATATATACACATCAATCTTTCAAGGATTTCCTACAATTTTTTGCAATTTAATTTCAATTTTAATGACATTGTTTCTGATTTATGGTAAAAAATTTGCGGAAAATAAGGAAAAACAAATTTATTTGAAAAAAGAAAACTGTACTGTTGCACGGCAGTAATTCTGGAAAATTTAAATAAAAATATGAGCAGACATTTGAAGTGAAAGACACAATGAAATCAATAAAATTGCACAAGGCAGAAAAACGGAAGTACAATTATTGTGTAATATTGTCTCACATCGATAGATTGCTGTTCTCTATATTGTTGTTACTTCCTTCTTTCCTTCTTTCCAGTTTTTCTATTTTTACGGATCTGCTGTACATCGCCAAAGGCACTGCAATCAAGTATTTGTGTTTGTAGATGTTGTTATCTTCCAGAGGTTTAATAATGACATTTTGTTGGTTGTATGATGCTTTAAGTCACTTAAAAGTCATAAGTCTCAAGAGTGCTTAGGAGTAATAGCTTTAAGAAAATATTTTTGAATTAATAATAGTAATGACGTCACATAAATGCTTTTGTTATGATTGTCTTTAGTGCGTTTCCATTGCCTTTGTTAAAGCAGGTTATTTAACTGAGGTTGTTAATGAAATTAGATTAATCATATAAAGAGTTTTCGTGCTTTTTAGCTTAGTTAAGCACAAATTTAGGGAAATTACACCAAAAATGTCGAATGCAACATTGCAAAATATATTTCCCAAAAGGGCAATTATCGAAATTTGACATATGAAATCATAAAACAATAAACCATTTTTCAAAATGTTTATTTTTTATAAATAAAATATATAATTGATATATAAAAATATATAAATATATTTGTATATAAAATATATATTTGATATCCTAATACAATATCAATAAATGTAGTATATATTTTGTCAGGAAGATATGCTGGGCTTTAAACTATACTTTTGTAAATTTACCCTAACAACTTAAGCCCTGTGCGAGTTCGAGTAAATTGATGGTAGTAGTAAATGAGAGAAGTAGTAAATTATTTCGGTATGTCAGCGAATGTTGGTAATTACCAGATTTTTGAATAAATAAATAAATTTGGAAACTTTTAACCAAAAATAATAAATAAGTGTAATAAATAAATATTTACATAAGTGCAGTGCAAAAAATCCCTAGGAATTTTCAATTTCCTTTACCTCAATTTACTCGAACTCGCACACGACCTTATTATTATATTTCAACAAAGCTTATAATTGCATACGTATTTTTCTTAAGTTCTTTAGACTGTTTGAATTAAAATTAATACAGGAAGAGGAGTAAAGGAAGGTAATTATATTTCTTCCTTTCTGTTCCTAGTTGGGTAGCAGGAATATACGTAAGTGCAGTCTTTTAAATAACATCGCTAATATTGTCCAGGTATCTAAAGGTAGTTCTTATTAATAGTCCAAAATAAATTGTAGCTGCCAAATCACACGATATTCAAATCTCTGATCAATTGAATAACATCAACATATCTAAAGCTAATAATTATTGATAGGCTAACATAACTTACAGCTGTGAAAGCACACAATATCCAAATGATATGACATGCTACAAAAGTATCATCAGCAATATTCTAACACTTGGATATATTAAATTTACCCAACGACCTATTTTTAATTCATATGAGCGTAGATCATATCGTGGACTATATATGATTTCGACACATATCAAAAATATGTATTTTCAACAATGTATAACACCTTTTAACTTATTTGATACTATATCCGAATTAAATATTAATTACATTTTTCATAAGTTTTTTGATTATTACTAATTATAATAAAAAATGTTTTTTTAAATAAAAAATTTACACTTATTAATTTGTGTTAAATATTGTAACTATATTTTAATTTTCATAAATCCATTTATCGTCTTTAATTCTCTAGATTTTAACAATGTTTCTATAATAAATTCATGTAATTTTGGTTTTTTAAACCAAAACGAAGTTGATATGATGCTCATCTCTGAAACTCACTTAACTAATAAAAACTACTTTTTTATACCAAACTATATATTTTACAAAACAAATCATCCTGACGGCAAAGCACATGGAGGTACGGGAATTTTAGTCGAAGAAGATTAACACACTATTTTGTGAGCTCATGTGCTGAAAATTTCCTTTAAGCAACTTCAGTGTGCATACAATGCTTTACCTACAACCTTACCCTATCAGCAGTGTATTTCCCCCTCGCTTTATACTAAACGAAATGCAGTACCTTGAATTCTTCAAAACTTTGGGAGA